CTTCTTAAAACAATTTCAACAAGTTTTATTGTTGTCTGGAGTTTGTTTATTGTCTGGAAATAAACAACATGGACTATACTCATCCTTATTCACCATCTTCATTAGTCTTTCTCTCTCCCGCTGTTGCCTGCTTCCCCGTCTGAGCTTTTTTTTTTTTACTGTCATATCATTCTTATTATTTTAGCGTGTATTAGTCATACCAAAAAGCTTCACCTTGGTATTCAGACATGAATATAGTATATTTTAACATAAAATAGTCTTTCTGGAAATGGAACCTGCCTGCTAGTTACTAGTCTTTACTTTATAGTAGTAAATGAGGGCCCTAAATTGGAGAGGTCAGGTTCAGAATGATCAAATTAGAGCATCATATTTGTGTCACAGTAATAAGCTCTATTAAGTGATCATATCAATTAGCGTGTATAGTTTCTGCTTTTAGAAGAAATATAAGACAAAGCAGTGGTTTAGAATCTCTGAAATCCTTGAGTTTTATAGAAGCAGGGCAGGGGCCCTGGTGGGCAGCTTTAGCTGCTTTGGCCAGGTTTCTCATGTTTTGTTTAATTGAATGGTTGTATTAAATGTTTTGTGTTTCAAGGACAAAAGTGTTTGTGATAAAGGTGGAAGTGAGCTGGCCACCAGTGCCTCATGCCTATAGTCCTAGCTACTCAGGAGGCTGAGTTCTGGGGGAGAGGGTCACAGTTCAAGGCCAGCCCTGGTAGAAAAATTCACTAGACTCCCTCTGTTAAAATAGGCAGCAAAAGCAGGGCTGGCTGGGTGGCTTGAGTGTTAGAGAGGCAGGCAAGCCAGTGGAGGGTAAAGAAAAAAAAAGCAAAAGATGGGGACCAAACGGTTAAAAAGTAATTATTGCTTGGGGTGGGGAAAGTCTTTGGATCCATCTAGTTTTGCTGCTCTTACCCTGTCTTCAGGGACTGCTAAGTGCAGAGGAATGGGGAAAAGATTTTGCTCTTCAGAATTATTTATGATTGAATTTCATTGTTACCACATCAATAACAAGGTGTTACTCGGGCCATCATAGAATTACCTTCCTTACAGTTACTATGGCCATATGGTGTATGTCACTGCAATGGTTCCTAATTTTCTAATTTGTGGTTTCTAATTTCTAATTTGTGACAGTAAGGAAACTTGTTAGTGGGCAGAAAAATAAAACAAGATTTCTATTTTCAGAGTACCTGTGACCAGGGAAAATTAGTTGACTAAATACAGCCCAGAAATAAATAGGAATTCTAACAGTGCATTAAGCTGTATTATAATATTAGTGTCACATTAAATAGAGATAACTGTAGAATTCTGAATATGTGAAAAATAAAACTAACAAATCTCAGCTACTTGGAAGGCAGTGATTCAACACCTGCCTGGCAGAAAAACTTAGTGAGACTCCAGTTCAATACAGAAGCTGAGCCTGGTAGCCTGAATTTGTGATCCCATAATTCCAGCTGCTAGAGTCCTCCCTGGGCAAAAATGCAAGAGAACCTATCAAAAAAATAACTAGAGCATCTAGAGGTGTGGCTTAATAGTGCCTGTTTTGCAAGTATGAGGCCCTGATTTCAAACCCCAATAAAGCCAAAAAAAAAAAAAGCCACAATTCCTTCGTACGCTATTGAATTAAATGGCTTTAAAACTCTTGTTACTGCTTCATATTATTTTTATTTCTGTATATATGTGTAATTCTACATACTTACATTCTTGCTATTATTTTACTCAGCCTCATATAGCACAAATACTTAGTTTATTAGTATAGCTCATAATGGATATTAATTGGAATTCTTCTTAGCCTGGTGTTGTCCATTTTTCCATCAACAGGATATTATAATTATATGATGACTCATCTGTATGTTCTTTATAGTTTTGTTACAAATTGAGTATTTTTTTATTACTGTATATACACAAGAGCCTATAAGCAAATTTTTATCTACTCATAGCTCACTTACCTTTATAACAGATAATAAAAGGAACAAGTAGCCAGATACTATAATCCTAGCTACTCAGGAGGCTGAGATCTGAGGATCATGGTTCAGTGCCAGTCCAGGCTAGAAAGTCTGTGAGACTCTTATCTCCAATAAACCACTTAGAAAACTGGAAGTGGTGCTATGGCTCAAGTGGTAGAGTGCTTGCTTTGAGCTGAAGAGCTGAGGGACCATGCCCAGGCCCAGAGTTCAAGGCCCACAAGTGTGAATACAAATAACTTGAGGGCCCAAAGTTTGTTCTTTTAAAACCAGTCTTTTTTTTTTAATTAGTTTCTATACTTATATACATGGAGAGATTTCATTGTTACATCTTTACACATTCACACTAAATTCCAATCAATCACGCCTCTCTCTATTACTTTTTCCCCTCTCCTCTCCCACTCCAAAAAAAAAAAAAACCCTCCCAAACAGCCTTCCTTGTTCTATTTTCATAGTTGCAAATAATCTATTTGGACAATATTTAACCTTCCTCATCCTCCCTGTCAGCACACCCCCCTCTTGCCATTCCCTAGTCAGAGTTGACTTTTAAATCTCTTTAAGTCAGAGCGAGCATTATGTGGGTTTTTGTTTTTGTTTGGCTTGGATTTTTGGGTGGTGAATTTAGGGCCTGGAATTCTCAATAGGCTTTTTTTGCTCAAGGCTGATGCTTCACCACTTAAGCCATACTTCTACTTTTTGCTGGATAATTGGAGATAAGAGAAGAGTCTTTGGGATTTATCTGCCCAGGCTGACTTCAGAATCCAGTCCTCATGTCAGGGGCATGGCTTGGTTGGTAGAGTGCTAGCCAGTGTGTGAAAGTGGCAGGTACCAAGTTCAAGTCCTGGTCTTAGACTGAAAAAAATAAATAAATAAATTGAATCCTTATAGCTCAGCTTCTTGAATAGCTGGGGTTATGATTATATAGATTATATAGATAGTCATGAGCCACTAGTGTCTGTATGGGGTGGGGAAGGGGAGGTTGTTGGTTTTTTATTTTTGTGCCAGTGCTGGGGCTTGAACTCTGGACCTGAGTACTGTCCCTTAGTTTCTTCCACTTACGCTCTACCACTTCAGCCACAGCTTTACTTCTGGCATTTTGCTAGTTAATTGGAGATAAAAGTCTCAGGTTTTTCTGCCCAGACTAGCTTGGAACCATGATCCTCAGAGCTCACCCTCCTGAGTACCTTGCATTGTGTGAACCACTGGTGCCTGGTTTATATGTGTATTCCTAATGGTTCCATTTTTGAGTTTTTTAATCTTATTTCTTCTTTTGAATGTATTTTATGAAACAGATAAAGACAGGATTTTTTTCCCCCAACCACTTAGCTTCAATACTATTTACTGAGTAACTCATCTTTTCCCTACTGTTTTATAAAAAGGTTCACTTAAGAATTTAGAACCGTTCTTCACAAGACACATTGTCAGGGGAGACAGTTCTCCCATGTGATTTCTTTATGATGCTTTGTAAATTCAAAGATAATGGAAAGCTGAAAAGTAAAGACAAAAATTTCATTGTTTATAATCTAGGCCTTTTTTTCTATGTAAATAAGGTATCAGTTTTTCTCTCCATAGGAAGAACTAAAGAATAAACAATTCTATTTAATCTTTTTAATTTTACGCTAAATTAATTTTACTCTAATGGCACAGTTATGTCTCATTTAACAATGCTACTTAAGAGTAATATTGGCAGAAGTAAATTAAATCAGTCCCTATCATGCCTAGGTGAGTTAGGATGATGGGAAGCCCAGCAGGAACCTGAACTCAGCAGTTGGGGAAGGTAAAAACAAGGTGGCAGGTGAGGAGCTTTCCCAGCTCTGCTTGCTGTTTTTAATGTTTAGGACACTGAATTGTGTGTGTGTGTGCATGCGTGTGTGCACACACACGTGTGTGTGTTCCTGTGTGCATGCTTTGAACTCAGGACCTCACCTTTAGTTTTTTTGCTCAAAGCTAGGACACCACACCTCCATTTCCAGTATTTTACAGGTTAATTGAAAAGTCTTGAGAAATTTGTCTGCCCAGGCTAACTTCGAACTGTGATCCTCAGATCTCAGCCTCCTTACCTAACTAGGCTTACAGGTATGAGCCACTGATGCTCAGCTGAATAGTGTGTGTGTGTGTGTGTGTGTGTGTGTGTGTGTGTGAGAGAGAGAGAGAGATGGCGTGCACACGCGGCACACAAGTACTTTCAGTGAATAGCACAGATGGGGTTGACTTGCAAGCCAATCACAGAGATCAAATCAAGTTCCCTAAGTTTATTATTTTAAAGTATGAGCTGTTTTACGATTTTAACATTCTTGGGCTTCATAAACGTTCATATAAAGGAAGAGGCAAATATAGTCTATGGTATGGCATTTCTTATTTTCTGCTTGAGAGATGTGTTCATTTCCCCTCCTCTCCCTTTAATCTTCCCGTTTCCTTGACACGGCTGCCTCTGAACTCCATTCTCATCTCTCCCTGCTGTGACAGTTCACTGGCACTTCACGCTACCTACGACTCTTTCAACTCTCATTTCTACCAGCTGTCAGCTGCAAAATAAGGTTGCTTTGTTTGGGAGGGAAAGGGTAGAATCCTTTCTGAACGGCTCCTTTTTCTTTGAAGCAGGAGCACTTCAGAGACAATTGAACTGCTTTTAGGTCTTCCTTACCACCCAGTTTTTTCTTCTGATAGATCTTGCCACAAACGCACAATACTGTTGATGACATCGATTTGTTGCTATGGAAATCGTGGTCGTGTCACAGATTTCAGCTCAGTGACTTTACTGTGGGTTCCTATAGGAGAAATGGGCAAGGTTTTAGGGGAGAACCTCATTAAAACTGAAAAGTATATCAATTATAAGCAGGTTGAAAGGTAAAAAAGAGCCCAACCTTTCCTATAAAAAGTGAGTCTTTGGCACATTCACTATATGCAGTTGGATGCCTCAGCCTGATTGTGAACCCTGAGAAATTTAAAAATGGACACTTCTCCAAAGTATTTCTTCAGTTTAAGTTTCAATCTCTTAACTCAATTTGCACTAAAATGGCCTTTGGTTTTGATCTTCAGGACATGGACAACAGCAAGTAGTGCCTTCTACGGTCTCAGCAGCCAGCCCAGTGGTCAGCAAACCTCAGCAACAGAATGGGAGCTCAGGAGCAGGTAAGGTGCCACCAGGGACTGATGACTTCTCAGAATGGCACTCCTGATGTGGAACTGCAAAGAATAATTCCAGTTTTAGCACTCTACTGCTTGAGCCATGGCTCCACTTGGCGACTGTTTTGGTAGTTAATTGGAGATAAGAGTCTCATGGGCTTTCCTGCCCTTGCTGGCTTCAGACATCAGTCCTCAGATCTCAGCTTCCTGAGTAGCTTGTAAAAGGTGGCTGGCAAATAATTCCAATTCTTATGTGACTGAAACAATGGAGAGTGCTGATGACATACCTGTGATCTTAGCTACTTGGGAAGCTGCGATCAGGAGGATTGCAGTCTTGGGCCAGCCTCAGATTGAAGCTACTTCTCAACAGATAGCTAGGCATGAGCCTAGTCAAGAAAAAAAAAAAAAAAGAGCAATGTGAAAAGGAGTGGAGGAGTGACTTGGTAGTAGAATATCTGCTTAGCTTGTGTGAGGCCCTGGCTTCAAACTGAGTACTGCCACCCCCAATAGAGATACTTAATACTTCCTTTATTATAATATACTCTTCTAGTATTTCTCACATCTTTTACATGCTCTGTGAATTTGCATACCTTTTAAATTCTTACCTTTTAACTGACTAGAATCCTCTTACTAATTCTGCTTTTCTTTCCCCAAGTTTTCCATTTGGGCTTTTGGGGTGTTTATCATTTGCTTAAAGTCATTTCTATTGTTCATAGGTTCTGCTTTTCAGCTCCTTGGATGAGAAATCATTTCTTTTAACTTTCTCTGCAGCAGGTTCAGGGAACTCCTGATGGAATCATTTTGTTTACTTTCTGGCCTTTGTTTTAGGAACCTCTTGACCTGGAAGCTACCATTAAAAATTATGATTTACAGGATGTGATTGGATTTATTTTTAGAGACTTCTTTTTTATTACAACGTCATATACGCCTCCTCTCTCCTCCCTTCAACTATTGGTTTCTATTTTTCAATGCACGGTTCTGAGAAAAGCAAGATTAAGACATCACTAATTGTTTCTGTGAAACTTTTAGGACATATGACTCTTCCCCCTCTGTTGTTGTTGTTTTAATCTATCTTGCATTAGGGCTGTGTATTTATCATCTATAATAAGAGTTTGTGTACTTACATACGTTTCATGCTACATACTGTTCAGATTATCTAAACTGCTAAAGAAAAAAAGTAAAATGTTTAAGAATTTAAAAGCCCCTTCTTTAAGCTGAAATATAAATAGTATGTTATTCCTCCTTTTCCTGCCACAGATTTACATTTTTGTTTTTCCTTGTTGTTTTGTTATTTTAAACTTCATGGTGTAAGAAAGTGGACTAGATATAAACTGAAGGATATCTTCCTGACCCCCCCCCCCCAAAAAAAAAGCCAAGCACTGGTGGCTCATGCCTGTAATCTTGTTACTGAGGAGGCTGAGATCTGAGGATCAAGGCTCAAAGCCAGCTTGGACAGGAAAATTTGGGAGACTTTTTTTTTTTTTTTTCCAGTCGTGGGCCCTGAATTCTGGGCCTGGGTGCTGATCCTCTGCTCCTCAGTTCAAGGCTAGCACTCTACCACTTGAGCCATAGCTCCGCTTCTGGCTTTTTCTGCTTAGGTGGTGCTGAAGAATCAAACCTAGGGCCTCATGCATGCAAGACAAGCACTCTACCACTGAGCCACCTTCCCATCCCTTGTGAAACTTTTTTTTTTTTTTTTTTTTGTCGGTCGTGGGGCTTGAACTCTGAGCCTGGGCGCTGTCCCTCAGCTCTTCAGCTCAAGGCGAGTGCTCTACCACTTGAGCTAC